CCATGATATTTATTATACCAAGTAACGGGAATAGGAGGTATGTTTTGTTATATAATATACTATAGCTAGAAGAAATAGATGGCAAAAAAAAAATTCCTTAAACATGAAAGTTACACATATGTGGTAATAAATTTATGTCCTGCATGTCCCAACAGTTTTACCCAGACAAATCTGAAGAGAGGAAGCATAGAAAGTCATAAGTGTATTAGAACGAATAAAATAATTGAGCATTTTTCAAATTCCAATTTTTCTAGCAAATTATTGCTGGTGGTTGCTGAACCACAGGAAAAGCATTCTGTTTTTGTTACAAGACTTGAATTTATCAAAAAAAAGTGTACCTGAACAGCACACTGAGGAGAATTCCATAAGATCTGCAATAATAATTAATTCTCTTTCTCTCCATCAATCCTCTAAACAGACTTACTCAAAGATGATACATGCCTTATATAAGGTTCATTTCCATTTTCCATCTTTGGTGGAACTGCTAATAAGCAGTAAAATGGCCCAAACAAGAGAGAAGAGCCAGGAGAAAAACAAAGACCTAGAATCAGCTACAGCTGAATAATTAGCACTTGAAAAGCAATGGCCCTAACAGTAACCAAAAGAGAGAAGAGGTGGGATTTGTCCATTTTCCTTCAGACTCTCATTTCAGGGCTTGAGTTTATCCTGCCTCACAGACTATCTCAATGAAGGAAAAAAAAAGTACATTAATTTAGAGGCAATTGTCTGATTTGATGTCTTTAATGGCACACATAGCATTGATTTTTTTTTTTCCTTTTTAACCTTTGCACTTTTACTTTCCTGCTTGAGGTTTTTCCTTGGGTAGAAGGCATCTTTAAAGTCTATTGCTTTTCATCCTCCCAGGATCTACACACTGAACTCTTGATGTATTAAGTCACAATTCCAAGGAGGAACAGGTCAAATAACTTTACAATCAAAACATAAACCTAATCAGATGTCTCATTTATACCTAGAAAATGCAAGGACTTGTAGGTCTCCTGTGGTAATGGGATTTAGCCTGAACACTAGGGATCTCAGAGTCGGTGAGCTGGAGTGCAGGCCTGGGAATCAGGCATCATGGGCTCTCTGTTCCATTTCAACTCCAAGCCAACGGACAGCATGCTCTTCCAGCCAGGCATTACTCCAGAATGTGCTCAAAAGATACATGCTCAGAGAAAATCGTGGGCAGGCTGATCACATTCTCCAAGAGTGGCATTTGAACTACCAGCTTACCTGAAAACGTGTTAAAGATGCAGACTCCTGGACTGCATCCCCAACACTCCGTAGTCACCCTTGGAATCTGCTTTTTCAACAGGCTGATCAGGTCATTTTTATGCTCACTGAAATATGAGGACCACTTCTGGCCTCAGTACTGCTGGTACTCACAGGTGAACTTGAGACCAGCATCATCTGGGAGATTGTTAAAACTGCAGAATCCCAGGCCCCATCTTAGAACTCCTGAACCAGAATCTGCATTTTCACAAGATCCCCCAGGACTTCCCCAGTAGTCCACTGGTAAAGACTCCAGCTGCAGGGGGTGCAGGCTTGACCCCTGATTGTGGGAACTAAGATCCCACATGCCAGTGGCCAAAAGAGAAAAAAAGATTCCCAGATAATTCCTTAAAGTTTGAGAAATATTTTGGTAGGATAGTTCGATGTTACAACCTAATTCTCACCAGCTGGGAAAAGAGATAATACAGCAACACAAAAGGGGGCTCTTCTCAATACTAAACTACATACTAGAAATATCAAGGAGCTTTTTAATAATCACTGACATCTCAGCCCTACTAAAGGCCAATTTAATCCATCCTTCTTGAAGTGGTACCTGGGCATCTATCTGTTTTAGAGCTCCGGAGTTAATTCCAATATACAGCCAGAATTGAGAACCACTGGTGGTGCTGGGTGTAAAGAACCCACCTGCTAATGTATAAGACATAAGAGACACAGGTTCGACCCCTGGGTTGGGAAGATCCCCCGGAGTAGGGCACTGCAACGCACTCCAGTATTCTTGCCTAGAGAATCCTCATGGAAAGAGGAGCTTGGTGGGCTACAGTCCATGGGGTCACACAGAGTATGACACAACTGAAGTGACTTAGCATTCACACACGCACACGTTCCAGTGAAGCCAAATCCAGAATCCAAGCTTGAAGTCCTATATACAGAGCATCAAGCTAAGTCTCACTACCCTAAAAAGCAATCAGGCATTTGCCTAGTAACAAGGGATTCCTAAAATACTTGCCTTTTTCTAAAAGGCGGCTTTGGCCTTTTGAACGGTTACTCATTGCCCATGCCTCATAAAAAAATAAATAAATACACTGGGCCTCCGCTGCTCAGGAGCTGAGGAGCAGCATCCCACGCCTTTGTTAACCGAGGCCGGGCTCCAGCATCCTCACGATGGGAAATGGCTCCTTCTGAGGCAACGTTTCTCTCTGCTTTCTCTGCCCCATGGGATTTGTGATTCTGGACAAGGCATATGCCTTCTCACCATGTCATTTTCCTCATTTGCAGAGGCAAAACACAGTGTCCATTGATTCCTCTGGTTAAGCTGACTGGTGCCCCTGGCTCGTGTCCAGTCACTATTTCTCTTTGCAGCAATCCTCAGCTGGGGGTGAGCCAGAGGGAGATGGCTGCCCATTTAGATCCTCAAGCCCCAGTGCTCATATCCTGTAAGCTCTCCAAATGCTGGCTGGTTCAGCTGAGTCTCTTCAACCCAGACAGGTCCATCAGAAAGCTTGGGAACAGGGTTTGAGAACAGAAATGCTACCCGATTCTTTTGAAATGTCTGAGTTTAGTTGAAGTCCAGACTCTGGTAGATCCAAGCTGTAGAAATAGGAGCCATGCCCCTACCCCACCCCAACTCTGACGCTTTATTTTTCCCCACAGGAAACCCTCCTAATTGGTCTGGATAAATTCTCTTGAACTCAGATTATAACTGTAGCACATGGTCTCATTACCTTTATTTCTATAATTATTGATAGCTTGTGTTTCTTTTTAATATCTCCGTATCATATGCAGTTCCTTATCTTCTCTCTACCTACTACGTATATGTCCAAGCCCCTGGGCTGTAGACCAACAGACTGCTCTGGCCATGGAATTTTCCAGGCAAGAATACTGGAGTGGGTTGCTATTTCCTCATGACCCAGGGATTGAACCTGAGTCTCCTCCATTGGTAGGTAGATTCTTTACCACCGAGCCATCTGGAAAGCTCCCTGTACCTACTTCTACTAATAATATTGGGTGCTTGCTATATGCCAAACATATTATCACATTATCCTCACATCCATCTTTTGAGGTAGGTGCTATTGGTATGCCAGTTTTACAGATAAAAAATTGAGATTTAAATAAATCAAGTGACTTGCTCCAAGTTCCACAGGGTAAGAGAGGCAGAAATTGGACTTCACCCACATCTATGTGATTCCAATCATATATTTCTACAAAACAGATCATACTGCTGTTTTAGGAAATTTCTCAATCCCTCACCTCAAGTTTCTGAGCTTCCTTAAACCAGGATCTCTGCCACCTGATCTTCCCTTCTGGCTCTGCTTGTTTGGGAACTGGCTACAGTGGGTGCCAGAGTCAAAAAGACTGGAACCAACAATGAGGGTAGGGAGAATAGGCAGGGAGAAAACTTAAGGTTCCTATTTTGTACCATATATCAAAATAAATTCCATATGAATAAAAAAATTAACAATTATTATTGTATTAAACAATACAAGTACTAGAGGAACATATAGGCAAAGAGAAAATCCTGAGGTAGGAAGAAGAGCTTTATAGAATGGTTACCAAAGGCAGAAACTATAAATTAAAATATTAAGAATTTCAACTACACAAAAACTTCAAATGTAAATTTAAATGTGAAAAGCAATTGATAATGGGCGAAGATGCAAAACAGAGGAGGAAGAATTAATAGACTGAATACATAAAATACTATTACAAAGCAGTAAGTAAAAGACAAATACTACAATTAAAAAATAGTCAAAGATAAAAGAACAAAAAGAAGACTAATATTCATGATTCTTGATGAATTCTGGCAACAGATTTTTACATTCTCTGCAGGTGAGAGTATGAATTGACATAACCTTTCTAAAGGCCAATTCAACAAAATGTACTAACACTTTTTTTTTATGCAGAGAAGTTAACCCAACTGTTTTGAGATATGTCTTAAGGAAATAATTAAGGACATGCATTGTGAGCCATGGGCTTCCCTGGAGGCTCAGATGGTAGAGAATCTATCTACAATGCCGGAGATGCAGGAGAAGTGGGTTCCAATTCCTGGGTTGGGAAGATCTCCTGGAGGAGGAAATAGCAGCCCACTACAGTGTTCTTGCCTGGAGAATCCCATGGACAGAGGAGCCTTGTGGGCTACAGTCCAGAGGGTCGCAAAGAGTCTGACTCCACTGAGCAACTGACCATACTCGCACAATAAACATGCACCACTTTTGTAATGAGAGCAAAAAATAGAACAGAAATTATTTTTTTTTTAAAAAAAGGAATCACAGAGTCCCAAGCCCAGTCTCTGGGCCAACAAGAAAAGGAGGGTCGGACTGAGTCATACAACTGACCCACACACTCCTCAGAGGAAGATGATGACCCCTTCCCCTCAGCACCCTGCTTGTCCCACCAAGGCTGGTCCTTCCCTGAGAACAAACAAGTCATCAGCCGCCAACTCTTCCCACCCATCTTTAGTGAGATCAGCCCCCAGCACAGGTCCTTGCCCAGGAAACTGGAGGCGAACCCTGCCAGAAGGAGGTCCAAGAGTCCAGGCTTGGCCCCTGTTGTCCACGTGTGGGTTTGTTTTCCGCAGCTAGATTTCTCTCCCAGCCTAAAAACATCCTTTGGACTCTCCTGCCCTTGGTTAAGATTCACTAGAGACTGGGGTGGCTGCTGCAGCTCTCCGCAAGTGCTGACAGCCCAGCCGCACCAGTACTTGGGCTGCCGCCTCCCTCCACTGTCCCGGACCAACCCCGGAGCACGCCTCACATTGCCCCTAGGAGGCAGAAATGCCAGCTGACCGCCAGAGTGGCAGTGCGGTGGCCGGGAGCCACCCCAGCGAGGCCCCGAGCGTTGCTGGGAATTCATCTGCATCCCGTTTCTGGTGCCCAGAGAGGGGACCAGGGCTCATGCAGCCGGAATCCATCGGGGAGGCGCACCCAGCCCAGACAGTTGGCCGCAGGGACCCCGCGGCGGTCTGCCTCCACCCCACCCCAGTCCCTCGCTGTGGCTGGAGGCTCCGAGTCGCAGGCTGCTTCCTTCTCCCGGGGAGGCGAGGCGGGGGGACCCCGAGAGCCCCCACGCTGCTTGGAGGTCGGCCCGGGGTCTCTGGGCGAGGTCATCCCGGGACGCGAGTTCCCGCCCCTCCTGGAGTCCCGGACTTCCCCGATCACAAAAGGCACCCTCTGCCTCCGCCGTGGCCAGCGTCAGCGGGCAGAGCGGGGACCCTCCCGCGCCATCCCTGGGGACTGCCTCGTCCTCCCCCTCTGCCTACCCTGGCCGGCGCGCCCACATCAAGGGGTTTTATGCACGCTCCCTCACTTTTGACCATCGTAAGCGTCTCGGATCCCGCGGCCTCCTCCGGTGAGGCTCCGACGCCAGAACCCGCAAAGCCCAGCCTTCGCGAGGGCGGGATTCGGAAAGCGGGTGGTAGCTGCAGGGCCGGGGTCGCTGCCCGGGAACGCAGGACGGGAGGTCTCTTATGGACACAGCGCCACCCCCACCCCCGCACGATCGCCGCGGGGAAAGCCAAGAGGAAGGGGCTCCCGGGTCTGAACCGCTCGCTCGGGGCACAGGGCGCTGCTGGGCGCGCGAAGAAACCGACTCAGGTGCGCTGAGCAAACGGAAACAAACGAAAAAAAGAGGTGAAGGTCCCGCAATTGAACCGCCTCAGAGCTGCACAGCCCAGGAAAGGCCATAAGTAATTTACTAAAAGAGCAAATTTTAAGAGGGGAAATTTGAGACAGTAATAGCAGCAGCATCTGGAGGAACCGCGGGGCGGGGCGGGGGGTGGGTGGTGGGGAGTTGTGAATCAGACTTTTGCAGAGGGACTCAGATTTTGCAATAGGCACTTAATTAAAAATAAAATATATTGATGTGGTAGGCAAGTCGCGTTCCTGGGAAGGTAAAAATACAGTGGACTCCCCCACACCCCAGACGCTCCACCTGCCTGCCGTAATTACAGGGCTTCAGAGAGGAGGGGAAAAAAACACGACAGAGAAATCTGCTTGCATATTTTTCTTCTATTGTGCTGGACTCATTTGAATTATAATGTGTTGCAGGCCAGAGTAGGAAATTTTGTGCCTTGAATAATGAATCCCCCTGGAGCCTGCGGTACCTGTACTTCTCTTTAGTGTCCTCTGAGAATAACGTGTTCGACATTCAAGTGACAACGCTGGAAAGGGTTTCAAAGCCCTGGAGCCCCAGCCCGCTCTGCACCCCGACGGCTCTTCTGCCTGCCCTCTCTTTGGCTTCCAAATGCAGCAAGTTCTTTCTTTACTTAAAATATGTTCATCTTTTACACAGGTCCTGGCTGTCCACAGAAACACAGCCCAGATAAGCAGGCTCTTCTAAATTTGAACCAGCCCTGCTGGTACAAAGTTCCAAGCTGCTAAGGTCCCCAGTATACTACCTAGATTTTTTTTTTTTTTTAATGGAAAAACCAGGGAGCAGAGAGGTGCAATGTCTTGTCCCAAGCCAAAACCGGCTTTTCTGATGTTGTTGACATTGTTTGACTGGCTCAGGCTGGCTTTCCATGAGGAAAAAAATAGTAAATAGGCAGTAATTTAATAAAACGGACATGGTTTAAGTTGTAAGCAGTATCCGAGCCTTTGGGACACTGCATGGTGCTGAGCAGCTATTTTGTAGAGGTTTGAATTTAAGGGGCAAATGGTGGGGAAAATACTCAGGAAAACCTCAGGAAGATGAGAGAATAAAAGTTTCACAAAATGATAGAAGCAAATGGTCTTTCATGCCTAAACTTTCAGTTTTGTTTTTAGTTGAGCCTTCTTTCTAGTTTGAAATAGAAGCCTTTTTAAAAGCAAGTAACTTTTTGGCCAGATATATTAGGATATATCCATATAATACCATAGAACCAATTTTTAACAAGTTCTTAACTGATATGGAAGGATTTCCAAGATACATTACTGAGTAACAAGCAAATATACAACTATTTGAATGAGATGAAAAAATCAAAGGAGAGTATATATACGTATTTGTACAGCAGTAGACTATCTCTGGACGAACATTGCTTTTGGGGATGCTCTGGGAAGACAGAGGGAGGGGACTGTCCTCTCTTTATCTAAATCCTCTGTCTGTTTTTAAATGATGTAAATTAATTACTTGTTTAAGAAAATAAATAAAACCTGATAAATAATTAAACTAATTCAAGCTATAATACAGCCCAGTCAAGACATGGTGATGGAGGAAGGGATAGCATGGTTAATTGTTAATCCTGTTTTTTTTAAAGGTAATTGTATTCATTACTTCCTCATTTTTTCATTGAGTCTGTTAATAACTTGCCAAAGGCAGTTGATACGAAGTTTTCTTTTCTGCCTGCCCCTTCTCTCTAACCGAAGCACAGCCAAGCAGGGAAATAACATGAAAATGGGCTATAGGAAGGAAGAGAATAAAGAAGCAGAGACCAGGTTTAATCAGCAAGTTAACAAAGGACAGCTGACTACACTCCTTACTTTCTGAGCTGGGACGCTTCTTTTGTGTCCTGAGAACTATTTCAGGACTATGTAAAGTCCCCACTTATTAACATTCTGAGAGTTTTGAGCTGAAAAGCAGAGAACCCCAAAGCCTGGGAAAGGCAAGAACTCGGCCAGACCTTTGGATCTGGCTGAACCATCTTGAAACAGCTCTTTAGAGTCTGCTGTACCACTTCCAGAAGCCACAAAGAGCAGGGAAACTTAGAGGGTCATCCCCATGGTCTGAGATGTTCCCCCCAAAACCTCTCAATCCTGCATCTAAGAAGCTTGGCTTTGCAGTTCAGCTGATTCCCAAGATACAGGCAGTGAGCCCAACTGAGCCCCAACATGGGGCCATCCTCCCAAAGACAAAACTGGAACCTGCCTCTGTCATCGCTTCTTCCTACTACTCCCACCTGCCTCACAGCCAAAAAACCAAAACATCAAACAAGCAATATATTGTAACAAATCCAGTTAAGACTTTAAAAATGGTCCACATCCAAAAAATTAAATTCAAAAAATTAAAAAAAAAATAAGAACAAGCAGACCAAAGCAAACACATACACACAAAAACCCTTCTCTTTTTCCCACCTGCTCTCTGATTCCCTTTCACGGAGCCCAAACCTTCCTTTCTCCACTAAGAGCAGGGTTTCTTAACCTTGGCACTATTGACATTTTGCACCAGATAGTTCTTTGTTATCAGAGGGCTGCCTTGTATATTGTAGGCTGAAGTGAAGTGAAAGTCACTCAGTTGTGTCCGACTCTTTGCGACCCCGGGGACTATACAGTCCTTGGGATTCTCCAGGCAAGAATACTAGAGTGGGTTACCATGCTCTCCTCCAGGGGATCTTCCCAACCCAGGGATCGAACCCAGGTCTCCCACATTGCAGGCGGATTCTTTACCAGCTGAGCCACAAGGGAAGGCCAAGAATACTAGACTGGGTAACCTATCCCTTCCAGCAGATCTTCCCAATCCAGGAATTGAACCAGGGTCTCCTGTGTTGCAGGAAGATTCCTTACCAACTGAGCTATCAGGGAAGCCCATATTGTAGGCTGGTTAGCAACAATCCTCACCTCTGTCTACTGAAGGCCTGTGGCATCCCTCTCAGAGTTGGGGTGATGTATATACATATTTGTTAGGAGTCAGAGATAAGGTAGGCTTCCCTGGTGTCTTAGATGGTAAAGAATTTACCTGCAATGTGGGAGACCTGGGTTTGATCCCAGGGTTGGGAAGATCTCCTGGAAGAGGGTATGGCAATCCACTCCAGTATTCTTGCCTGGAGAATCCCAATGGACAGAAATGCCTGGCAGATAAGGTAGAAGGCAGGTAACATCAAGATGCTGTGCTAAATGCTTTCATTTACCCCTCCAAATCCACTCTCCACCCTTCACCCTGCTCTGTGCCTCAGAAAGTTGACTCTTATGAACTGCATTGATAGGCTTCATCAACACAGTCTGTCTCTCACTTCTGGTTGGGTTTGGTCAATGGGAAGAACTGGCTGGAGTGGAGGGGCAGGGACAGTATGAGATTGATTGCTCTGAATCCTTGTTGGCCAGCCAGATCATGGCTGGCTAACTGCTTCCCTCTTTCACAGGCCAAAGTTTCTGTCAGGAGGCTGTCCCAAAGAGCCACAGCTCTCTCTGGCATCAGGAACTGGTCACTCTCCTAGGTCTTCAGGCCTAAAAGTGTAACAGTTTCCTGGGGTTACTAACTCCAGGATATTACACCACCCATCACTGGTTTCCCTAAACCCTGCCCACATTTTTATTAGTCATCCCTTTATTAAAATCTCCCCAAATTGGTTTGAGTATGCCATCTGCCTCTGCTGGGCCCTAATTGATACAGAGGATATGGGAAATCATTTGATGGAGGGGTTGTTGGTCTGAGACAAGATATAGGAGTTCCTGGATTCTTTGACTAAACATCCAATACGTTGCAGTGCCTTGAAGCAAAGTGATCATGGTACCCTTTCTCTATTTCTCTCCCAATAACCAAACAGGCCTAAGAGCTCCTACTCGCAGCATGAGAAAACATTTGCCCTGATATCAAGAGTAGAGGTTGTCCAGGTCACCCCTGGCCTTCTCACAACAGACATGATTGAGGACTAAAAAAAGCATGAGAGAGAAAAAATAGCAAGATCCTCCCCCAAGAAAGCAAGCCGTGTCCCCTTTATCAGTTAAGCCACACCAAAGGAAGAGGAAAATATTGGCATGTTCAGTTCAGTTGCTCAGTCATTTCCGACTCTTTGCGATCCCATGGACTGTAGCACACCAGGCTTCTCTGTCTATCACCAACTCCCGGAGCTTACTCTGGTCACGGTAACCCCTTTGTAAGTGCATTATCTGGAAAATGAGTGTCTTCCAATCTAACACTAAACATTCTTCATAGACATAGAATGTCTCTGTCTTAATTTCTGATGGATCCTGGAGAAGAAGGAAAATATGGGTGAAGGGGTGTCCTCCTCACTGTCCCCAGGGCTGTCTGGATTGGACAGACAGAGGCTGTCCCCAGCCTTAGCCGCCAGGAGAGGGGAAGGAGCAGAGCTACTATGTGGCTCTGACCCACGAGCCCCAGTGATGAGGAGGGCAGGTGCGGAAGGGATGAGCCCAGGGAGCCAGCTCTGCATCTGGCCATGGTGCCTCTGGGCCAGGCCAGGACAACAGCCTCGATTGTCCCTCCCAACAGTAGCCCTGCTGATCCCAGAGAAAAGAAAGCCAGGGGGCCATTCGGATCAGGCCTGCACAGGAAGAATGCTGCCCTTTCTCTGCAGCTCTGGGTCCCAGAGTCATGGAATCAACAGCTCAGAAGCTGGCAGTCCCTTCGGAGGCCTGGGCAGCCTCCCCCGTGATCACATGGCCCAAGACACTCTGTTCTTTGTGACAGCAGCTTGGCTGGGTGGGCTGAGGACCTCTATAGACAAAGATGCTTCAGGTGGACCCTGAAGCCCCCTGGAAGTTGATGGAAGGGCCTCTCTCCCCTGGGCTGTGCCTCCAGCCTGCCCTACTCATCTGGTCTCTGAGTGCCCCCACAACCTGACGCTTGGCTGTTGTTCATATTAGAGACAGCTCCTCATCTGATGCTAGAGACAGCATCAGGCTCAGTGAGCACAAGGGCAGCACGGACACCCTCAGGCCTTTTGCGTCAT